CCCCAAAACCCCAAAACCCCAAAACCCCAAAACCCCTTTTCATATAATAAAAATTGAATTAACATAATGGAGAAATCAGGACTGTACAGCCGTCAGGGCATTCTGTCTAGGAAGACCACAAAGACTGTGGACAAGAACCACACGTTCCAGGACCTACAGGAGAAGAAGGCTGTGGTCAAGGATCAAGTGAAGAAACAAAAGATTGGAGCCTACAACAACTACATGCGAGTAAACCATTTCAACACTAGAGAGGAGAAGAAGGAGCAGCAGATAAGACTCAAGGCTGAAGCTGACCTCCAGATGCAGGTCAAGCAACAGATCAGAGCTGAAGAGAAAAGGAAAGCACAAGCTGAAGACAGGAAGATGCTCAGCCATCTTAGGATGATGCAGGAAAGAGACGCACATTCTCATATGGAGAGAAGAGCAAGGATGATGAAGGTCTCACAAGAGAACAAGAAAGCAGCTATATTTAAAGAAAATATTACCAAGCATGCTAAAGAGGAAGATAACGCTCTCGCTAGAAGAGAAGAAGCAAACCATGAACATAATTTCATTCATAGATATTAATGAGATATTGGTTGTGAAGATAGTTTAGTTCGGTTTTGACTGTTGACCCATGATTCTGGTATAAACCAACTGATATTAATATCATTCTACAGGGAATACTGACTAGGATTAGAGGGATGCAGGAGTGTGGCACTGTTTGCTATAGCAACTTGCATACTACAAGTAATTGAACGGTTACTTTTTCTACCTGCTCTTTAAATACATCCTGAATTTTTCTAGAATAGGAGAAATAAATTGATATCTATATTCTTAGACTCTCTCTTCATTTCTTCTCATAAATTGTACATAAAATATGACCAAATTTCAGCTATTCAGAGCTGAACCCATAACCAACCAAACAACCCCATCCCTTTGATTGCGTTAAAATAGATAACAGACACTGATTTTTATCAATTCCGAACTCTTCGAACGGGGTTTTGGGGTTTTGGGGTTTTGGGGTTTTGGGGTTTTGGGGTTTTGGGG